ATCGTGAACACACGACCCCTCACATACGTACCTTTGGACGTGGCCACAGATGAAGCGTTAACCCCGAACCACTTCCTGTTGTACGGAAATCGAGGGGTTACTCAACCAAGCACGGAGTTTGTGGCACCTTGTCAAACATTGAGGGACAGCTGGAAACTTACTCAGCACTTGGCCGACGAGTTCTGGCGTCGCTGGGTTAGAGAGTATCTTCCAGTTTTGAGGAGACAAGTGAAATGGTTTGATCCGACCAAACCCTTGGAAGTCAATGACTTGGTCATTGTCATTGAGGAATCAGCACGGAATCATTGGGAGCGTGGAGTTATTACCGAGATCTACCCAGGATCGGATGGTCATGTGCGGTCGACGATGGTCCAGACCAGTACTGGCATTAAGAAGAGGCCCGTAACGAAGCTTGCATCACTGGATGTCAGGAAGGCTCAGAGCAAAGAAGATGATCGTGGTTCCCAGCAACACGGGGCCGGTTATGTTGAGAAAGCCCCTCAATTGGACAACGGAGAGGTGTAACTGGGAACGCTGCACGATCGAAGAGGTGTCAAAAAAGAGAGTGAGTTGAAACGAAGGACAGAAAACAAACGTGTTCACAATTTAGAATATCTTTTGCGCGATTATATCTCAAATCAGAAAGCTAGTTCTAAATTCGAATAATTGAATGTAAGATCGAGAGTTGTTCAAGTAAGAGAAACCATTCCATATGTTTTCGCTAATCCTAATTACTTTTATTTACTAGGATAAGATACCCACAATTTCGGGTTGTTGCAGGGAAAAATGTTAGGTTAGCATACTAAAGAGAACCGTTTTGTAAGTAGCCTGTTTTACTCTCTAAAATCATAACCTAATGTTCAAATAAATTGCAGACTTAAAGTTTCTCGAAGGCAAACTAAGGGACGGATCGCATTTGACTACTTTCTCTGCAACAAAGATGAAGTGAGCGAACGTCAAGACGAATCCGATGGGTTTAGTACGTGCAGTGATACGGAACGTGCTGAAGAACCTTGTGAAACGCCTGAGACAACATCATCTGGTCGAGTCACGAAGCCACCAGTTTGGCCAAAGACTACGACATGATGTTTGCTGGTATGGCGTTGAGTGCTATGGAATACGTCGAGAATCTTCCTACTACAATCGCGGGCTTGAAGCAGAGAGCTGATTGGCCCGAATGGCAAACAGCTATACAGGATGAGATGGATTCCCTGCAACGAAACAAGACCTGGGCACGAGGGGTTTTAGTCGACGTTTAGGTTTTGATTACACTGAAAGCTACTCGCCGGTCGTGAAGCTAGATACGTTGAGGACTAAGCTGGCTGTTGCTAATCAAGAGCGAATGTTGGTGCACCAGATGGACGTTCGTACGGCTTCCCTCAACGGAGACTTGAGCAAAGAAATCTTTATGACACAGCCTGAAGGTTTCGAGGAAGAAAAAAACTTAGTCTGCCGATTGCACAAGTCAATATACGGCCACAAGCAGCCCTCTAAAGCCTGGAATGACCGATTCAATCGGTTCATCGCTAGATTGGGATTCAAAAGGAGTACTGATGACCAGTGTATTTATTGGCGAGGGGAAAAAGATGCGAAGAATCGGACACAGTTTGCAGGAGATTCGAATCGTCAAATCATGCCATTCGAAGGAGTTTGACATGACTGACGCTGGGCAATTTACCAATTGTCTTGGTATGCGAATCGAGCGAGACATGGAGAACCGAATTTTGCGAATTAGTCAGCGTCGATACCTGGAAAGTTTGCTCAATCGCCTTGGCATGTTATGTTAGCGTGACAACACGCCCGGATCTGTGTGCGGCGGTAAACTTCTACAGCCAGTTTCAAAGTTTGCCAACAGAAGAACATTGGACGCACCTCAAGCGTCTTCTCCGGTACATCAAAGGTACAGTAGATATTGAGCGGGAGTACAGAGGTGACGACAAAGCGGATATTGTTTCGGCGTTTAGCGATGCAGATTGGGCGAACAGTATTATCGATCGACGTTCAGTGACGGGATACGTTTTCCAAGTTTTTGGCAGTGTGACAACCGGGCTGACTAGAAAACGGCAAACTGTATCGTTGTCGTCGACAGAGGCTGAATTAGTCGTACTTAGTACAGCGGTTTATGAAGGAGTGTGGCCGATAGGGTTGCTGTAGGAAATGGGTTACCAGCTAACAGTTCCTGTGACGTATCATGAAGATAACCAGTCAACAATAACGGTGGTGAATGATCCGAAGGATCGTGGCAGACTGAAGCACATTGACGTCAAACTACGGTTCATCAGAAGTCTGGTTCAGCAGGGGCGTATCCGGCTAGAGTGCGTTCCACCAGAACGACAGGTAGCTGACATCATGACGAAATCATTACCATTGTGTTACTTAATCCTGGTGTTTTACGTGTTATTTCTCGATCCGAAATAGTGCTCCCATTAGGATTAAGAGCTGCTTTAACATTATTTTGAAAACAAGACAGTTTTTGACTTTCTCGTCAGGCTATTAAAGGTTTTTTTTTTTAAATAGCAAAAAACTCAATAACCAGGAATGTTTTACACTTTGAAATGCTGTATTTAAGCTATATTTATTGTTCATTACCGTTATAAAACCATCATAAATCAGAGTTAATGCCAAATGGCTGCTGTATTGTAATCTAAAGACGTCAACTAAATTGGATGCAATCTTAGAGCGTTATAAACTTATGCCTGCTAGATTACATGTCTTTCCTATTTTACACAGGGAATTAGACAAATGCTGTTTTAAATGTGATTAACGGTTCAAAATTTAACTTTTTTTATATTTACTCGGCTCACTCAGCACATGTAATAAATGACATTGGTTTTATATCGATTCTTATTTCTTGCTAATATTTTTAAAATTGTTCAAGGGTTTCAGGTCTTATTCTACGCCAATTAAAAAATGCGTTTGTATTAATTCTAGGTTGATCAAAGATGTTTTTAAAGTAACAATCAAATTAATAATAGAGTAGAAAGAAGACATGAATAGTGCATTAGAAAAAAAATACTCAATCTTGACTTGAACTCAAAATATTTCGTCAAATTATGATCTATTGTACAAATGCAGGAAGCTACCATTGCACACCCTTAACCGAGCACCGATTTCAGTAAAGCAATTTTAATCCTTCTGGACCAATTTTACCAACGCAAAACGGCCGAACCCAACGTACCACCATAATGGCTGCATGTGTTTTAGTTCGTAATTTTCGTCAACCAGGATTAGCGTCAGCTTCATTGGAGCACCAATCAACCACTCCTGGGTTAGTAGACATACATGCGTTGGGTGTAGCGGATTAACAACGTCATATCATTCAGCTTTTGCTTCACGATCCAAAACCATCGGGCCACACACGCCACCCAAAGGTAAAGCGCCATTAATTCCACATGTGTGCGACATCTAGTATTTGGGGTGTGCCTGCCGGCCTAGTATCCATGTATCGTCATCGTTTACCGTTGTTGAAGCGCCAAACTTTCATTTCCGAGCTTTACCTGCATAAATCATGCTCTGCTGCCACCAGCCAGCGGCGTGGAATATCTCTCTCTCATTATATGTGGAATATCACTTCAAAGCACGAGAGCTTGGATGGATGGATCTAAAGTGATCCCTGACACACGTCGCTAGCTAGCTATATACCATCGTCATACCCGTGGACGTGCGTGTACCTTATAAGCCTATTTTTACAGAGCCCACACATGCTGATGCTCCTTCGGCGCTGTTGAAAAATATTTTCATTAATTTTCATAACAGCTGAAGCCATTTTTTTTGCGATGTGTGCGTTCTTTTGATTAATTAAATTCAAACTTAAACGTTTGCTGAGGTTCGAGGTGCATCCTCAAACACTACTGGCACGGCAAAGTGTAACACACTCACACCCATCGGATGCATCCCACACTGCCGCATGCAGTTTTCAGTAATGATCGCAGCCACTAACCACGAGAACGTCGACGGCTTCCGACTGCGGAAATTTAATTAATCTCAACGGAGACAAGGGGGTAAATTTCCGAAAATTGAATTTTTGATTGGACTTGGCAAAATTAAATTTTGGAGCACATTAATCTCCCGCTCCACTTGCGAACACTCTGATGGGATTTTCGTCATCATCCTCATCATGTGTGGAAGAAGCGGGCTTGTTTGCTCGTTGCTGTTGAGGTTCCTACACTAACGTTACTAACTGGCATTATCTTTAGCCATATTCCTCACTGGAGAAACTTCCGAGTCCTAGCCATCATCCTGGGGAGATTTTACTGAAAAGTTTCACCTTCTGCGTTTGTATGCTGGCTGGAGTTTTGCATGAGCCAGAGGTGGATTAAAGTAGCACGTAAACCGTGTGCTGTTCCGGGTTGAGATATGTGACGAGTGTGATTAACCTCTTGCGGGAAAATGAGAAAACTTTCCGCTGCCATCAAGCCGCGTGGCACGTTTTTCTTCTTCCCAATCAAAGCTCTACCACCGTCAGCAGCTGGGACTATAATTGAAATTAATCGACGGGGTGGGGTGGGGTGGAGTTTGTTTCAGACGAACATTTTGATCCCAAAAATCCACGCAAAAAAGCATCCTTATTAATTATCTGATTATTGATACCAACTGCATCGCCTCTTCATTGAATTCCCATCCAAGCCAAACAACTCACACCAATATGTACCATCAATGGCAACGATGACGACGTCGGTTCCCGCCTGTCTACGAAATGGTATTATTTTTCAATTATCCTCAGATTTATTCAATTACGCCCAGACTGGAAACGGTGGGAAAAGCCCACTCACACCTCACTGCAGCTGATTCGATTGTGATTATCATTAGTCCTATCCTTCCTTGCCTTCCGTATCAATAAGAACTCGACCGAAAGAGAAACGCTAATAACGATTCAGCCAGACATCGCTATTATTGGAACGCTGGCAGACAGAATCGCAATATGATGACTGATTTTTCGATTTATAGAATTCAATGATTTAACCGAAATCTTCACCCATTTTCCCTCTCCTCGATTGCAGGTTTCCTGGATGCGCAAGCGGGATCTCCACATACTGACATCGGACATCTACACCTACACCGGTGATCAGCGGTTTTCGGTGGTTCATCCGCAGGACTCCGACGACTGGGACCTAAAGATCGAGTACCCTCAGCTAAAGGACAGCGGCATCTACGAGTGTCAGGTCAATACGGAACCGAAGATCAATCTGGCGGTCTACCTGGACGTTACAGGTTGGTGATTTTATCGGTTGAATTTGACTGCAATAGGACGGAACGATTTCCGGAAATCTGCTATTAGGTGGCCCGAACCATTCATTGAATGAATTCTCTCACACGTGATTTTTTTCTGGAGCACTTTAACGACATTAAAATTAAAATCTACGATCACAATTTTTTTGAGAAACACGGTGGGTAAATATATATTGTCATAAAATCTGTTTACAGCAATTAAATTTTTGATTGTGTTTCGATACATTTGACGGTCATAAATTGTAAATAGGGGGATAGTAAATGTGTGGACGATTGTCGTCGTGGGTCGAGAAAGGAGGTCTAAAACTCTCAAAAATGGTCTACGTAGTTTATGAACAGCCACCTATTGAAAACAAAGTAAGAGGGTGCATCCAAGACACGTCCTTAGATTTGACGTAGGATTACGTGCTTGCTTTCAATACTCGACGACTGAGTTAGTGAAATCACTTTTTGCAGGCAATCGGTCGTAATTTTGATCACCATTGCAACAGTTGGACATTTTTGTAATTTTCGAATTGATACAGTGTTCATTTTAGCAGATTTGTGTGAGGTGCACAATTGACTGAATGGATTACCATTCAGTCATAGTGCAATCTCCATTGATGAACCCCTCGACGAGCTGTCAACTGGATGAACAGGATGAATCTATTCATCCTCTTTAATCTGACCGCCCAACGACGCTTCAATCAGCAAGCATCTCGTTCGTCCTCTTTCGTCGCAGTGCAGTTGAATAGGTAGGTTGTGCCTGCTCTCCAAAAGGGTTGGGTGATTCCGGTGGGATACGGTTTAAACCTCACAATGGCGATCCTGCCAGGTTTTAGCTACTATTCAGTGCTAAAATAAATTGAACCATTTCCATTAGAATCACCCAACGATTTGAGAGGGCTAAGAAGTGGAAATTGAAGTGTTATTTAAAAGAAAGGCTAGTCGTGAAGTCCCACGTGTATATTCGTCAAATTTTCGTCTGGTCTATGAGAAAGTGTGAAGCGCGAACCGCGAACCGCGAGTGGAATGGAATGATACCAACAAAAAAAAAGTGTGCATTGTCAATGTTCCTGAGAAGACATTTTGTTTTGCTTTGACGCGTTTGTTTTTTTTTTCTTCGTTACGTTGCCTTTCAAAAGTGATAATAGTTTCCTGCAGTGTAGTATGATTGCCGTGTTGTCTTAGTATAATCATTTTTGCTGCAATCATAACAGGTATCAAACCTGTGGTGGGACGCTCGTGGAAAAAGTGATTCAAGACGGCTAAGTCATGTAATCATTGCCACGGTGTGGGACGCCCAGTGGAATGATTATTCAGTGATTGGACGACAACGAAGAAAAATCTTCCGCGGAGTGGGACGCCTGAAGGAAGATAATTATGCCACGAAGTGGGACGCTCGTTGGTGAACAGTGGTGTCAGATGCCCACTAGAAGACTATCTTTGCCATGGTGTGGGACACCCGGTGGAAAGATTACTGCAAACCTTTAGTGACGAAGTGGGACGCTCGTAAGAAGGTCTGTGGATTTGTTTTTCCACAAGTTGGAACGCCCGTTGAAAAGCTACTTCCGGAAGTAGTAAAGGATTTTTCCTGATGAATGTGGGCGTCTTAGTGGAATACCTGTATAATGAGAGAGAGAAGGATTAGTATTTTCCATTTAATTCCACTACTTTATTTGCTTATCCTTGACAGATACGCGTATTTCGTCTACAATGTGCAGACTTCTTCAGTGTCTTGTACTAATACTCGACTAGTACAAGAGTATTAGTACAAGACACTGAAGAAGTCTGCACATTGTAGACGAAATACGCGTATCTGTCAAGGATAAGCAAATAAAGTAGTGGAATTAAATGGAAAATACTGATCCTTCTCTCTCTCAAAGGATTTTTTTTAATATACGTTCTACCGGAACACCCACTCGAAGAAGGCAGATCTTGTGGATCACCAGGTTATTTAGCGTGGCGGGACACCCGCTCAGAAAAGGCAAATCGTGAGGATTGCCTGAGTGTGGCGGAACACCCACTCGAAGAAGGCGGATCTTGAGGATCTCCAGGTTATTGAGCATGGCGGGACACATGCTCAGAAAAGGCAAGTCGTGATGATTGCCTGAGTGTTTCAGAACACCCACTCAAAGAAGGCGGATCTTGGGAATCGCCAAGTTATTGAGCGTGACGGGACACCCGCTCAGGAAAGGCATGTCGTGAGAATTTCCTGAGTGTTGTGGGTCACCCACTCGAAAGGGCAGATCTTCAGGAATAAATTCGCTCAGGAATAGGTTGTCGATGATAGAATGACGCGGGAGAATCTCGAAGAGACGTATCTGAGTATGTTGAGTCACTCGATCATGAGTGCCTTAGTTTGAGGATTACTAGAAGGTAAAAAGGTGATTCGTGATGATAGCTAGAAAATTATAATTTAATTGATTGCCCTTTCTGACAGTTGAACGTAGTTAGAAGTGAGACACCGATTCTGAAGAGAAGAATGAATCGATTAAAATGATCAGAAAGTTGAGGGTTCGATCATTGTACATTTACTGAGATCCAGAATATTGGATCAGAATACCGAATAGATTCATACGGGACATGAAATTCACTGATCAGATCTCTTGAAGCTAAGCCGGATGCGGCAGTTTCGATTCCCGTTCCGGTCGAGGGAATATTTCGGGTCGGAAATTTACTCGACTTCCCTGGGCATAGAGTATCATTGTGCTTTCCATACAATATATAAATTCATGCATTGATATTGGCATCGAATGCTCTCAATTAATAAATGTGGAAGTGCATTTAGAACACTAAGTTGAGAGCACGCAGTAAGCTAATATGCGCTAAGCAATTAGCTTGAAATGCGAATAAGAAGAAGAACAAGAATCTCATGAAGCTTTTGCTGACTTAGTGGCTACAGTATTTGTCAGTATTTTCTTTTTGATGGAGTTATTCCTATAAAGGAGTTTTATTGCAAAAAAAGACCCAGATTTTATCCACAGATTCTGTTTTAACTTTATATTTGTTAAGACGAGGGAATAGGACAATTTATTGCAATAAATCGATTGGAATTTCTCTGAATAAATTTACAGCCATCCGGTAGCAGTAACTACTCCAGTGTACAGATTTATTCAAATATCGTTTTAATGAAAGATATACTTCACTTCTTTGGATGTATTATATTTCAAAAACAGATTTGGCACTTCTGCAATGGCATGCGTGAATTTTGAGGAGAGTTTGAATTTAAGACAATGAAGATTAGAAAGCAAGTTATAAAAACTGACAAGAATGCAAAATTCTCAGAAATCTTGATGTTTGATTACTAGAAATCATTTCCAAAAATTCAGATTAAAAAAAGTTGAGCACGTTTCTTCGGGACCTTCTGGTCTTATAGTTACCTCTATGGTAGCATTATGGTTTGCCACTTGTCATCCGCAATTAGATATCCATTTTTTGGGACTTTTACTAAGACGCTATGAATACAGTTGGCTGAAGAAGTTGCGGTGTATCAGATATTAAAGAAAAAATGAACTTTGTGCAGGTATCATGGGGTCAACATCACAGACAATATAGGTTGTTGAAATGGACTGATATTATTTATAGAAAAACAAGCACCCTAAAGCTATAAGCACCAGCGATTTTTTTTTCTCGTTTTTCTTGAGAGAAGGAGTGGGATGTGAGGTGCACAATTGACTGAATGGATTACCATTCAGTCATAGTGCAATCTCCATTGATGAACCCCTCGACGAGCTGTCAACTGGATGAACAGGATGAATCTATTAATCCTCTTTAATCTGACCGCCCAACGACGCTTCAATCAGCAAGCATCTCGTTCGTCCTCTTTCGTCGCAGTGCAGTTGAATAGGTAGGTTGTGCCTGCTCTCCAAAAGGGTTGGGTGATTCCGGTGGGATACGGTTCAAACCTCACAATTTGTAGACGAATTTCCAATAGATTGGCTTGTTTAGAATTAGAATCCATCCGCTATTGACAAAGTTATAAGTGGTCAAAATCTGACCACTTTTCGTAACGCGGTAGATGTTGGTTTTTTGAAATTGCACCCCCAATATATAGATAAAAATATATAGCATCAAATCAGTATTGAAAGTGTTAGTAAAATATCAAATATATAGAGTGGTTTGTGTCACACACATGCACACGTGGATAAAGAGAAATATACAGTGCTTTCCCGAGCTCCCATAATTTTGCAGTTTTTAAACATGAATTCTCAAACTTTTGGATCTGAATGATTTTTATTCTTCCTTTCGTTAAAAAGTTATTGTTAGGGGAAGTGGTGATAAAATTGGCATACAGGGTAAAGTGAAAAATTTACAATTTCAAGTGCTAATTCATTCAAACGTCAATCAATTCAACGCACAGGTTTTTCAACCAATGTATCTTCTACATTAAATTCATTTAAATTAATTTAATTTGAATGATTCCGTTTAAAAGGTCACCAGCTCATATTACTCCCTGTTCCACTACTGAGAATTATTAGTTTTTAATTGCTGTTTGATGGAGAAGCATTTTTCAACACGGAAAACCAAACCTTTGTAATTTTAATAAAAAACAAATTTTTTCACCTTTCATGATTAATGTATCCACCGCAGGTGCTTTAAATCGTCATCCATGTGAAATATTTTGTTTTCTATATCGATTTTGCAGTGATCCGGCTGGTGCTTCCATGTAGTTTGGATGGGAAAAATTAAGATTTATAAAATTATCCCAGCGGCTATGATCTTCCGGATTTTCAATGTGTTCCAGCTGTAAATCAGTTCAGATTTGTAGATAATCGAAAAATAAGACCACTCCCGATGGAAATTTGCAAGTTGTGTAATGAAATGTACGTTATTTTTGTTGACAATGAGACGATATACAAGAACGCTAGCTTGATGAATTGTTTCAGTGTAATATGTTCTGACTGGCAACATTGACAAGGGCATGAGCATGAGCATGATTGACCACCCAAGGTTGCTACTCTGTTATTGCCAGATCAGCTGTAATTGCACAGAGAACCAAT